ATGTTTGATATATAAAATAAATAAAAGAAATAAACTAAATAATATATATAAACTAAATATAATATAAAATATATATGTTTCAAATCACATAAATGCTATATGTTTGATATGTATAACATTTCGCGCAGTTACCATTCAACCAATCAGATTACAGTTTTTTTATTAATTTGATTATCAGATTCGATCTTGTGATCCTGTGATCGGAAATAGATGATCTATACCTCATTAGAACCGTCTCAGTAAGCTGAATCGAATGGTGGTAGTTTCATCGAATTCTGCCTAGTGGTTCAAGAGTTATGGTCATTTTTGTAGGTTAACAATGTCAATATCAACAAAATAATCTAAATTTTATTTATTTTTAAGTAAAATTTTTAACAAAAACTATTTAAATAAATTAAATAAAATAAGAGTAAAAAGAAATATAAAAAAATATATATATTATTTCAAGAAATACAATTGCAATACAGATCTAATATTGCTTCAAATATTTTTAATAGATTATTAATGTAATTAATTAATCTATTATATTTATATAAAATACATATTAATTAAATTTAAAAAGACTTTACATTAATGTTACATTAAAAAATTGTAAAATAAACATTTATATGATACATAGTGTGAGGTCCAATAATATGACGTAAATACTCTGCCAGAACCTCATGTGAGAACAGATGCAATGATCAATTCCTTAATATAGATATCCCAGCAATTAATTGCATTAATGTGATTAATTAAATAAATCAAAGAAATAAGATTAATTAAATAAAAGAGATTAATTAGATAAAAAAGGTTAATTAGAGAAGAAGGATTTATTAAGTAAATAGGTTTAAGTGAGTAAATTAGAGGAATCGAATTAAAGGGTTTAATGAGATTAATGTAATTAATGAAATTATAATGAAAAAGATATTATAAATAAAGACTGAAATGGCCCTTTGGAGCAGTATGCTTCGTTTGTTTTATTAAATAATAAGTCCCAATACATTACATTGTACATAATAAACACTAACACTATTACCGTTACAAACCCTGTGAACCCCCATAACATCGTTGTTCAAGCCCTTGACCACGTGACTTACCCTACTTGTATTCGTTGACCCAAAGTAACCGAATGCCTTAATCGCCCACTAGCCAAATCTAACACCCTCTTTCGAAAAGGTTACTTATCGTACGTTACGCGAGATATTGAATTGTGGAGCGACAGAGTCGCAATCATCCGAACCCAACAATATATAATTTTGATTTAGTTGGAATACAACATGATCATGAAAATCCAGAACAAACGTTCGTTCTGCCAAAAATCGCACATAACTCAAACATCAGCATAAGAAGCCACCTTTGTACTCTAACAAAAGTTTTCGTTGGACAATTGTTACCTTATAAACTACTTCTCTCTAAATTCTAACCGTGACTCTAACCTAATTTTAACGAATTTTAAGAAATTCGTCTGCGTCACAAACTTGATCATATTTTCTGAGTGCGATCTTCGCATTAGAAATCAATTTAGGATTTAATTTTGGGAACTGCTATTCGCACCATAGATTTTTGCTATTCGCACCATGGTATGTAGATCACGACCAGAATTAGTTAGAGTTAGGGTAAGTAGTTTTTCATAATGTTAGTTACCATGGTGCGAATAGCAAAAATCCATGGTGCGAATAGCAATTCCCTTAATTTTTACTTTTTTTTCTTTTCCACGTGCGTCGGCTAGGCTTTACCTTTTTAGAAGTTGTATTACTGCAACACATAAATAAAGCGACCGTTGATGTAACCTTTCTTGCCTTACATTATTAGCTTTAGGTGTAATCCTGTTTTTGTAGGTACTCGCGTACATATACAGTACACACGAATCAATGTATGTACTTAATTAAGTACTTAAATATAGACTTATATGCTTACGTACGTACATACGTACTTACTATACATTACGTAGAAGTTATTGTGGATTGCTTAAGGAATTTCGATTTTATTAAATTGTTAAAATATTTTCGGTTGCATTATATAAATTGAAAATCAATACTAAAATACTTTAAAAGTTCCGTAATTATTTGCATGCTATGCATAATACGTACTTACTTATTTTTAATTAATTAATGACATCGAAGGCTGAGTCTTTATTAAAAGTGGTATAGATGACACATGTCGGGAAACACAGTCAATTACTTCACAGGCTGTATGAATGTCCTAGCATTACCAATTTAACAAAATTAAATGTCATGTATGATCTAAATTCAATACAATGTACGTTGGTAACGAAATGTTTCATATTATTAATTATATGACGATTATTTTTTATATATAGTAATTCAATAATTTGGGTCACTTACATAATGCAGGTTGAGCAGACTGTGCAGCCTGCTCAACCTGCACATGAAATTTGAAATATTCACGTTTTGCCTTAATTTTAACTTATAGATAAACCAAAATTCCTTTTCTAAAACTCTATTTTCATTAAACTCAATTCTCGAAACTACCATTTCATTTTCAATCGAAAAGAGTACTTTCTATTTTCAATCCTGTACTTGTTAAAATAGATAATATGCGTAAAACAAACTCCACTATTTGAGATCATTATTTAATTAATTCTGTAAAATCATGTGAACAAGTCATCATAAAGATTATTTGAGCTGTAAATGTGGTAGAATTTAAAAATGGAAAATTTAATATTATGTCTAGTATATCCAGTATAAAAATTCCACACATCATGTGATCTTATTGCAAAACCAAAAAAAAATTCGCTAAGAAAAAACATTTCGCTGGTAGGATAAGGTTAGGATATCGTAAATAGGTTAGATTTAGAGGGTTATAGTTATACCAAAATTTTACAAGGAAAACCTTTTATTAATACGCAATAGGAATTTCATAGATAAAATTTCGAGTTACTGACGGTTTTTGGATTGTTTAGTTCTTGAACTTATTTTTCGTTATACCTGATCTCGAAATTTGATTGGCCAGCAAAATTTTTAGACTGGCGATTTTAGAGTTGTTTAATTTTAACAATGATAAGAAATAGCAACTATTGCTGTAATTTTCATTTTTAATCTATAATTAGTGTTAAATTAAAGAATTATATTCTAACAGATATCCCAAATAATAGTAAACACTATCAAGGCCGATTAATGAAAAATATTTTGGAGATTTCTAATATTTATTCGATGCAATATATTTTACGATTTTGTTTGTAGTTATTTTGGTTTGGTTTTTTTTAAATATAATTCACAATAAAGCATGGATTTAAACTACATCTTATTGCTAATATATGAGTGTCTCCAATGGAAAACCTGCAATCGAGCTTTTAATTATGGTTTATATCGGGCACAACCAGACTAATCTGTTATAGATCATGTCCGATACAAATGTAATTGAAAATTTGATACAGACTTTCCCGTGGAGGCACTCATATTATATGTAACTGTAAATAAAGTTAAAAAATAAAAGTTCTCTAATATAATTACACTTTTTAGTCATAGAATTCCGGAATTTGATTTATTAAAGTTAGAAATCGCTATATTTTTTTAAATACATGAATTTTCAGGATAGGTTTCTTGCAAATATTAATATTTGCTTATTGAATAAATGTTATTTATCTTATGTATTCTTAATTATTGCTTATTTCATATCTTAAATACTTAAAGTGCATACTTATGTATTCTTAATTTTTGCTTATTTCATATTTTAAATACTAAGAGTGCATACGATTGTTATCCAACCAAAATTTATGACATAAAAGATTGTTATTTTAAACAATTCATACTAATATAACATATTTTATATTGCAACGTTAACGATAATTGATATTTCTTTAAATTAAGTTTATAATTTTTTCATTAGATTCTGCCAAAATCGAAACGATAATATAATATTATAATGGTGGGCACCAACAACGATGATTGAAATATTCTATTTCTAGGTATAACAGGTATTTTAATACCTTAAAATACACCCTTCATGACAATAATGATCTGCAGCATTTTTATATGGACATGGAGATTCTGAAGTGGAAGTGAGTGTATTGAATATAAAAGACGATTGTTCCTCGGCAAACATGATATCAAGGATATTGTTTTCTTCCTGAATTGAATCACGAACATTAACATTGGGATTTATTCCTTCCTGAGATAAATCTTGAATCAACTCATACAACTCTTCATAATTAACAAACACATTGGAAAGAGGTGTAAAAGGAGACCTATGTGGAAGAGGAGGTGTAGGTGGAGAAGGAGGTGTAGGAGAAGGTGTAGGTAGAGATGTAGAGGGGTTTATATTCTTTGGAGGTTTTTCACTATGCCTGGGTCCACGTTTTTGAGGTTGAAAAAGATAAGTGCACGCACGATTGCGCTCTGCACATTTAATGCATTTAGGTTGATCGATATGTACTTTTTTACATCTGCTTTTTGAGCTTCTGCAAAAATCACACGCACGAGTCGTGTTATAGCGATATGTTAGGAGACTATTTGACGTTGGTGGCATTTAGAGAATTTCGCAATTAAAGATTCGTAAATTGTAAATATAATAACTATTAAATTTTTGAAATTACCTTTGAAAAGCGAAGACTTGCTGTATTTATAACTTTCGATAAAACAAGTTTGTAGAACAAATATCGAGTATTTCTCTAGTAATAATATATTCTTGTGTAAATCGATCTCTTGGGTTTTTTATTGAGGCGGTCAGCTTGATTAACTGTTTCATCTCGCAGTAATGAAGACAAAATAACAAATGTCAGATTCGAATCTATTGAATTGCCAAATTTTAGAAATTAAATAAATTAATTTAGAAAATTCCAGGTATACACGATGCTTATCAAATTCTTGTAACCCGAACTTTTCTTTGTTAGTGGTTCTCTTTCAGGAAATTTTCATTGTATCTCAAAATTTTACTTCCTGCAAATAAAATAATTTTCCATATTGTTATCTATTTTTTTTTTATATTCCCTAAACTTTTTATTTCATAAATTTATTATTAGTTAATAGACAAATTAAACGTCAGTGTGACAAGTTGACATATCACAAGGTTTTTGTACTCTAATTGCCGGCTATTAGGTGCACTATTTTCTCTTTTTAACGTTAAGGAAAATTAAGTCCTGATTATTAAAACCACATTAGATAACTTGTAGGTCAAATTAGTTAAACAAATTTCTGGTTATTTATAATTATATGATTCATACGCAGTTACAGAGTTAGTAGTATAAAATTTTGACCTTATAAAAATATAAATTACTTATGCGGTTATCTTCTCGACTACGGTACGGAATTTTCCGTTATAAATATCTGAATTTCAGTACACAAGTCAGCAGTTTACTATATGGCAAAGAAAAATTAATATCTCACTAGGATAAAGGAATAAAAATTGCGATAATAAAAACATTAAAATATATCTAATTAGAATAAACGAATAATAGTTTCGATAAGAACATTAAGAATCATGTGAGAATTGATATTTGTAATCGTAATGTCTATGTAGAAATCTTATAACACTGTTTTAGTTGTAATAATCATTCGGATATAATTTCCGGATTTTTCGAATTTGCTTGCGTATGTGGCTTGATAATCTTTGCTGATCATTTCCTGTAAAAATCTACTAAATTATCCAATTAGGTAATTGTGATTAAGTAGCTGTTACGCAATTTCGACGTTTCGAAATTTAAAAGATTTTTTTAATTATAATTTCTTTTCTCGAAGAGTTAAATCATAGAAGTATCGCCAAGAGAAATCACATGATTTCTATAAAAATCAGACTGAGTAAATTATAAATTTAAAATTCCGGAGTATAATTCCTCTTAATAATACCCACAATGAACTGCTAAAAATAAAAATCAATTTGTCTAACAAATCTACTTGATATCTATTAATGGCATTTTACATCGTGCAAATCATCAATAAAAATGTTTAAGAAATAATCCGAATAATATGTTCTCAATATTGGCTAAGATAACCTCAACATTTCCAATGTCATGATGATGTCAAATCCATCATCATTAATAATAATTATGCATGACGTAAAACTATTGTGTCGATAATTTAATATCCGAATATCCATTTACTATTGATATCTGGGTAATCCAACAAATATTAAATAATTATCCGGATATCAATAGTAAACGGATATCCGAATAAATTCAAATTTGAATATCCAAAAGATAAATGGATAATGGATAGGAACTCTAATATTTTTGGAAATCTAAAAATGCTGAAATACATACACTAATTTTTGCGTCATGTATAATCCTCTGCCCTTTTACATTGTTTAAGAAGCGTCAAAACTTCAAATAAACTATTTTAAGATAAGCAAAAGGTTTTTTTCTTTTTCTTTTTTTAATCATTATATCACAAAATTGAAATCCTCATTTATAAATGCTATGAACTATTATACAATCTACGGAATTTACCTAAGAAAAAAACTTTTAGATAAGAAATTTCAATCGGAATTTTTTTTCGTACATTAACTTGTAACATTACGAACAATTCAAATTTTAAAAATAAAAATTTGAGCAAAGATATCCTGACAAATACTAAGTAAATTTAATGAACTTTTTTTCTAGAGATCCTAGGATTAAACCAAAAAAATCATTGAATTTGCTTGGGTAGTTGCTGAGATGTCATCGCTCAAAGTCAATGGACACTCTATAATCCAAAAACGGAAGACTTGAAGAACAAGAACCACTGATCATCATTAGAGACAGGTTTCATGCGTATTTTATCTTATCTAAATTTTATATAGTAAAATTATATAAAATTTAGATCAGAGTACATAATGCCGGGCGGAATTAAGAAATAGGAACGCAAATGTCCCGAAAAATTCTGAAAAGAAAATGAATAAACATAAAAGACGTCCGATATTCCGAAGGGAAAATATAAAATCAAAAATTATATCATGCGCATTTCCCCCATCTCTAATCATCACATCACAATCGGAAAATGCATTTTAGCAATTCTTCAATGTGTGCAGGCTTGTAACACAGCTATAGTCCGCGGTAGAATTACTGAATTATGGCATTACGGCATTTTACCACGTGGTAGAATTAATTGCTGGTATAGTGCGTATTAATTGCCGTAAATATTATATGCTGTAATGCTGTAACGTATTACAGCATTACGGCTCAAAAAAATTACGGCAAATTACCAAATTAATTTACCACCAACTATAGGCACAGCAAAAATTCTTTATGTTCGTTTATGTTAGGGTTAGGATCACCATTGGAAACCAGAGTGAATAGTTTATTTAGATATTTTCTTATGTTGATTTTTGAGAAGCAAGCGATTTGACGTTTGTTTTGAAATTTCTTGATCGTGTTACATTACGCCTGATCTTGAAATCTAATTCGTAGTTCAGGAATCTGCACCACAAACCTGGCACATATACCCAGAACGAAGTTTGTACAACGTAGAAGTGGTGTATCTCTTTTGCATCTGATTGGATAGTCTACCGAACCGTTTTTCAAATCTCCTTATTTGGAAGAATGTTAAGCGAAGCAATAAAATTAAAGTTAGAGTCGCTCAGAGGTCAGGAATTAGGTTTATAATCATGGGTAAAGTTGCTATCCCGACACTCGTTTCTTGTGTTTTCAGTCGTTTTTATTTTTCGATTTATTTGGATTGCTTATGTAGATCTCCCAAATAAGGAAATTGAATAACGATAATGAGGATATTTCTGTATTTCCGAAAATCATGTGATGGTGCATAAGGATCGACAGTAGGGATTAGAACCGTTTAACCGTTTAAAAATTGCTCAATAGTTTCGAGCAGAATTATTGTTGGTCGTGGACCGGAATTATTTTAATGACGGCCAAATTAAACGGTTAAACAATTAAACGATTAAACAATTAAGAAAAATTTTAGGCGGTTCCAATCCCTAGTCGGCAGAAGATTATTGCGAAAGATGAGTCACAATGAGTAAAGACTTAGTATAACCATAGATATGTAGGCCTCTCTATAAGTCTGTTAAAATTGTTTAAAGGATGTAATTTGGGTAAACCATGGTTGCGTCTCTAGTGTGAAGCCTAAAGATATAATTGTTAGTTGTAAATCACGCACTAACGACTTGAGAGATTTTACGCATAAGAGTAGATATAATGAATTTGAAGATCGGGTGTATTCTAAAGTCTCAAAAAAAAAAAAATCATATACAGGTAGTGAAATTTATTAGGTTAGTAGCACACAGTAACTGTTATTTTTATATATATAGTGGGTTCAATCTTAAAAATTCGAGGTATATTTATCAAATATTGTCACGAGTTTCTCGTGACATGTGATTTAAGAAATTTAAGGCTTGATTTTCAGCAAATTAGATCGAGGGATCAGTGTAACGTGAAAACCACGCATTTTGTGTTTCTAATTGAAATTTTGTCTATGAAATTGTCTTCAGCATTCTTCCTTGCTAAATTTTGATATTAAGTGTGACCCTCTCTGGGACTTAATCCTAATCTCAAAGATGTCATCTAAGTTTTATATAGGAAAATTAAAATATATATGATTTAGGTCAGAGTACATAATGCCGGGCGGAATTATGAAATAGGAACTCAAATGATCCGAAAAGTTACGAAAAAGTGAATGAAGATAAAGGACGTCCGATATTTTCTGGTATTAAATACGCATGTTATTTTAAAATGTGTATTTTTCCCATCTCTAGTTTCGTCTGATCCAACAATATAATTTGTTAAAAATCACGTTCCAAAAATTTTTCGTAGGTGAGTTACCAACAATGACAATAATCATCAATTCTAAATAAGCTGATCCATGAGTTACAATCAGTGCTAAACTGTGCACATATCTCCCAAACATTTATAACAATACCAATAAATAATAACGATACCGATAATGAATAATTGATTCCGTAAATAATGAGGACAATCCACGATGTTTAATTACGGTGCTAAATTAAGTATAAAATGGGCAGCCATCAATAGAAATCTGGTATATTGAGAAAAACCGAATATCTTAATTTTCACAACTTATATCTCAATGATTCAGTAGCCAAAAGAAAGCATAGGTCACAAGTTTTCTTTTGCATATTAATAGCAAAACTAGCTTCAAAATTCATTGTGATATGAGCTATGAAAGTTAAGATATTTATTATTTTAAAAAATGCCAATCTGCATGATTTCTATTGATGACAGCCCATATCCAAACAATAGTACGATCAATTAATTAGGAATATTTGGGGGAATTTAGTATCTTTTGGATTTATTAGATAATAAAAAAGTTCTTTAACATAAATTGCAATTTTTAGTCGTAAGATTTTGAATTTGCTATATTTTCTAAATGCATGGATTCCTTGCTTATAGTCATATTTGCTTTTTACCTTATATATTCTTAAAATGTTCAACTTATTCTTAAATTGCTTATATTCTAAGTTACTTATACATATATATATACACAATAAATTTTTCCGATAGGCTTCCTAATAATACTTTACGCATTAACGAGATATTTTGCCAAAAACGATATATTACGGAATTATAAGAGTGGGCTCAAACAACGATTGACATAATAAATGTTTGAATTTTAACAGACATTTTTATATTTCACAAAGATCACATCTGGCCTCCCAAAATAAATCGCGAATCAATTCACTCAACTTAGAATCATTGTTGTGAGAATGCGTATTATTGGAAAGAGAAGATGTAGTATTAGGTGTGGGTTTCCGAGGTTTGGGACCACGTTTCGGAGGTCTGGGACTGCGTTTCCGAGGTTTGGGACCACGTTTTTCTTGTTGAAATAAATATGTGCATTCGCTATTCTTTTTAGTGCATCTACTGCACTTAGTAGATTGATCAAGGCGATCACATTTATATTTAGAAAGCTTGCAAGGATCACACGCTTGAGTTGCGTTGCATCGGAAATTATTTTTTTTTGGTTGCATGTCTCGAAATCGCCTTTGAATGTCGAAGACTTGAATTGTTTTTGAAAGTTCAAGACATGAAATTATTTTTGAGGCACAAAGACTTAATGTATTTATACATCAAATATCGGAAAGAAAACTTGGAGTATTCTTCTAATCATGGCGTCACAAATATATTGTGTGAGTTTACCCATTCATTGAATTTTTATTGAGGCGGAATTAATTAATCCTTTGTTGTTCAGCTTGATTGACTGTTTCGTACTGTAATTAAAGAAGATGTTAAAAATCTAATTTATTGTATTATAAATTTGGAGTTTAATAAATGGTCTTAGAAAGTTCCTTTTTAACACCTCTTTGAATGATTGACCAATCATTTTCTTGGTTTGAGTCTATTATAGGAAGGTTCTTGTGAATATGTCGCATCTGAAGTAGCGATTTATCTAAAGTAGCCACTTTATATATCTAAAGTAGCACCCTGGCTAAAATTAAAATCTAATGCATGCATGAAGATCTAATTTCAGGGGCTTAATTTTAGCCAGGCGCTACTTCAAATAAGTCGCTACTTCAGATGCGACAAATACACTGAAGGTTAAACAACTTATTTATAAATTTATAATACAACAAAAATCTTTATTTCTGCAGATAATAATTTTTCCATATATACATTATCTTTATTTCTTCATTTATTATTAATCCAATAATTGAAGGTCGAGTTAAGTACCAATGTGAGAAAAATTAGACTATTAGTGCATTCCACATGCATAAATTAATTGATTTCTCAATATTAAACCGCGCCAATTTTTTAGATGTAAATTTCTATTTTCTCTTCTTTAAACATTAAGTAAAATTAAAATTTAAACTTGATTACTTGTAGGTCAAATAAGTAAAAACCATATTTTTAATTCTAGAATTTTATAGGCTTAAAATTTCAAGTTACAGACTACTTGAAGGTCCGAGTCTGCTTTTCCCTTGATGTCGCCATATAATTTACTCATATCGATATCATCTCAGCTATGGTATCACTGTAAATATCCGAAAATAAGTAAGTTAAATAGAAGTTATTTCTCCGGAGTGTAACGGATATCTATGCAAGTAGTACAAAAATTATATTTTGAATAAACCGCAATTTGGAAATAATTTGAAAAAAAACATGCATAACTATGCAACGCGTTTGTGATCACCATATGATATTCACCGAATACGCACCGGATGTATGATGCTAGTAATAATGATAAGACAAGAATGAAATGGAAATTTATATCAATATGATTGTTATTCGTCCAGAAATTTTATTTGTCTATGTAGAATTATGATGTAAGAACGTACTGAGGTGGCTCGGATCGAACTAGCCAAAATTAGTTAACATGCATTAAGTTTTGTTATTTTATTAACACATTTATTTTATTTATTGCATTTTAACCCCATCCCCCTCCCAATAATAAAACCAAAAAAAAAAAACCGATAACAAAACAAAAGAAGACAAAACAAAACAGAAAACAAAATAAAATAAACTAGTAGAAGTAACTGGTTCCATTCAAAACGTACGCGCATACATTGATGATCGTGATCTGATAATGCTGATCATTTCTTTAATCATTGATGACACATTTTTGACGCATTTGCGAATTTGAAGTATCTTTGATAATTTTCTTTTCTTGAAAGCTAAGTATAAAAGTAACTCCGATAGAAATCGTGCAGTTTCTAAAAAAATAATACAAATCAAACAAAGAAAATTAAATATATAAAATTCCGAGGTTGCTTTCAATGAAAATTATTTTATCTAACAAATCCTATTTGATGGCAATTTTTATAGCGTAAATCATCAATAAAAATTAATTTACAGTATATAACAAATCTGCATAATTTCTATTTATCAATCGGAATCGTCTTGGGATGGTGTACCAACCCCGGCTGCTATGACTTTTCATTATAAATCATCAATAAAAACAGTATTGAAAGTATTTCGGCGTTAATTTTTGCGCAAATAAGTGTCATAACGAAATACTTGTTTCTGCGCCAAGTATAATTCCTTGCACTTTTATATTAAATTTTAAAGGATTGATTCTAAAATAATAATTTTTTTTTTTTTCTTTTCAAAACGTTATCTTGCAAAAAAGAAATCATATTTATAAAAGTTATAGGTTATTATACAACCTACAGAAATTTATCTAAGTGAAGAAAATCCGAAAAAACTTTTTAAATAAGAAGTCTCAATCATAGGTAATAAAATTTGGTTTCTGCAAATGCACAAACATGTTGGCTAAACGGTTTAAAATAATGCGTATCCTGAAGTAGACGTTAAAAGATAAGATAATATTTGTTGACCTTTTCTCTGAATATATGAGGTTTGCACAGCCCAATAAAGCAAATTATATAGTAATTGTACACTAAATAGAAAAACATAATCAACTCTCTCTAAGTTCAACCGCTCTAAGTGCAATTTCTCTTTAAATGTAACTTTAAATTTATGCCCAAGTATATGTTTAAGGCCGTTCAAAGTTGATTAGTTGGTTAACGTCATCCTTCCTCTTGGTTAGCTTCTCCCAAAATTAAACAAGCCAATCACAACACAGCAAAAATTTCATTAATCATGTCATTAAAATTGGCCGAGATTTAATCGAATATTCTTGGGCACATATATGTTTATTTAAATCTCCCTCACCCTAAACCCAAAATGTTGGCTTTAACTATAGATGCCTGACGAAACCATGTGTTTCTAATTGTCACATGTTATTACTTATAAAAATTAGAATTAATTGTTGATTATTTATATATTGTAGCATGTGTCAATTAGCATCACATGGTTTCGTCAGGCATCACTAGCTTTAACCAACTAATCGACTTTGGGTGGCCTTAATGCAATTTTTTTCTAAATACATGTTGCTAAAAGCTCGGACTAAATGAGTTGCATTTAGAGAGTGTTGACTATATAAAAATGTACTGAAAATGTATCAAAAATGTTGCAAATGCAATGTTTAAATATTTCAATTTAATATATAAATATTTTTATAGGGTAATAAATTAATTGTTTATTTATTTTGACGATAATTAGGATTCGAAATTTACTACCGAAAATTATCCATTATTCTATTCGAAAATATATGTATAACCCTGAATTTAATTATTCGAAGTAACAAGCCTCTTTCTTTGTTGGTCGATCAATATAAGTGTGACACGAAATTACATTAACGTTAAAATAATTGGTAACTCTTCACAAAAATTCCCCTCTTGTGATTTTCATACAATTAGATCGAAGATCAGGTGTAATAAAATAATTAGGGTTAGGATTAAGGGGTAAATAAATGGTTTGATTGATTTTTTGTGGGAGATCTACAGGAGTTTTAATAAACATGATATACGCAAACAAACACACTCCAATTTAAATGCTATAGGAATATATATAAGATAAACATGACACGAATACACAAACACTTAAATATGAATGCAACAGAGGAAAAAACTAAATTACTGACAATAATAACATTAACAAATATGGAAAGTGATCAAACATTGTTAAAATATTAATATAGGTAATTCATTAATGCAATACGTAACATACTATCACAAATATATTAAGGTTATTCATATATGTCACGAATTATGTACAATATAATTCGATAATAATTGTGACGATCATTGCTAATGTGAACCAAAATTACAGATGCGGTCAGTCCGACGAATAAAACAAGAAACGATAGTCTAAAACTACTTTGGTGCTTTAGAAAAAAACATATCTGGAAGGCCAGGTCCTCTTTAATCTAACATCAAAATGGCCCAGCCCCAATATTTGGAGTCTTTGCAGCGGATCAGTCCGAAAATCAAAACAAGTATGTAATATATTTGAGTTTCCGGGTCGTGCAACTTTTCTTTACATTATTTCGACAATTTGTTATGTAAATCGATTCTCATTTATAATTGAAAATGTTAACGCATCGAAATTTACCCAAATCCAATAAAAACATTTTTCATTTTTGGGTGCAGTTTCCGCCTTTTCTACTGCTTTCAGATCCTTTAAAATTACTAAAAAAGGAAATTTAACCAACCCTGTCGAACCCTTTTGGTCGAGTTAAAATCTTAACTTTGACCGGAAAAAAAAATTAATCGCAGCAGTCACTTTTTTTTTGACCACTGCAGTATAACTCTGGCCGAAAGTCAAAAAAAATACAAAGTCGAATCCGCAGCAGTCACTTTTTGAATGCTTAATGTAGCCTAAATTTTCGACTTGATTGGGCCACTGAAATTTAATATAAAAAACGAATTAATTTTAGATGCTCTTATAGACGTTTTAGGAGAATAGTAAATATAAATATATGATTTACTCAAAACCCTACTAAGGCAAGTGTCTTTATGATAATAATAAAATTTGTTCAGTGTAATTAGAGGTATTATAATCTCTGTTTTTATTAGTATTAATTGAAAACGTATCGATTATACTGTTTTTTTTTTAAAAAAAACGTATACGAACATTTTTTACAGAAAATACCTTAACAAAATCGTCTTCGGAAAAACCTTCTCAATTCTAAACATATTTTACTCTTCTAAGTAAATTTTAGAGAAATCATTATTCTGTTTAAATATAAATTTTCAGACTAATTGCCTTGGTATTCAGTGAGTTATTACCGATTTTCCGTTTTTTTTTCATATTCGAATTTTCATTCTTGATGAAAATAAAGATCGATTGAGGTTACCTTTTTTTATTTAATTCTAAACATTATACTGCATATTAAGATAATTTATAAAATAAGTGTATAAAATTTTTCTTGAAAATTTGAATGTATTTAATTGAGAATTTATTAAGTTATTGCATTTTTTCTTTTAAAAATTATAAACAAATATTTTTTTTGATGTTTGCAAGAAAGTTAATTCAATATAATTATAATACTTAAATAATACATATTATATAATATATCATATTTTAAATTAAATAGATTGATATTTATGAAAACAACTATTTTTTGATGAAGTTTTTTTAAATGATTTATAAAATTTTTTTAGATAAATTTGTAAAGATCATTCTTGAC